AGTTCCTGCAGCAACCTTATCCTTCAAAACCGGAACGCAGTAATGCTCACATCACTGCTTGGCGGCAGAAACAGGTAAGGTGGCAGTACTTCCCTGGACGAACCCTTTCACAAGGAGCTCTACTGCTACTAAAAGGTAGTCATAGTTATTTAAAAGCTTAAGGTTGGAATTTTGTACCCTTGCAAGAGGCCTTGATGGTTTGAGAATGAAATTGGAATGTATTTATAATATCCGAGCAGTATTTATCATGCTGTATAACACGATAAAAATAATAGCAGAACGGAAAATTGACGAGAGCAATTTGAAACAGAAAGAAGCCAAAATTATGCTAATATTTTATTCATTTATTCAAACCAAGTAATGGAGGAAAGACGACGAAAAAAACATCGCATGGAAATTATACTCCTTGAAGACGGGTTAAGTCCTTACCTAAAAGAGACACCTGTCCAGTCGCAAGCCACACACGTCAAGTCTATATCTAGCTTTAAATAGTGCTACCCAAAGTATCTGTATCTATAAGTATACATAGAAATAATAATAATAATAATAATAATAACGCACACACTTAACATAGCCCCGCACTAGAGAAACCCTGTATCGCGGGTACCATAGACACCCACAGGTACAATCTTATAAAGGCACTCCCTACTTAAATTAAATATAGGTTATGGTAAAAAGGAACTTACCCCAAAAGGGCCTGTATATTTCTAGAAATACTATGCTTTATAAGCATTTCGGTTACATGATTTTCAATGGTACTACAATATTATACTTTACAAGCAGTTAGATGTAACCTAATTTATGATTTAACTGGTCAGAATTCTATGTGAAGTTGAGCACGTGTGTTCGCTTAGAAAATTTAGTAGAGAATGGCGATGGAAAAAAGTTGGTGACGATGAAGAAACGGAATTTGAGAATGATTCAAAATTTCAGTAGATGGCCTGGAACCAGAGAAAAGGGTGATAAAAAGATGGGATGACCGTGAAAGAGGTTACATCGTCACAAATTGGTTGCTGGTCATTGTATTTTTATAAATTTCCTTGCAAATCTAAAAGGAAATTATGGAGTAAGCTATCGAGCATATAAAACTTATTGAGAATAAAGCAGTTGTGAATCATGGCCAAGATCTATCACGTATTTGTTCCCTTCGAAAATTTTCAGGCTGAAGATAGACCAAAATTCTAAAAGTTACACAATCGAACAAGTTGTACAACTTTTGACTAATTTTGCAAAGGTTACGTATTGAACTAATATATTGCCTTTCAACTTTTACACAGGATGTTACATAATAGGTCAGGATAACAAATAACTCAAAGTTATCATTTTTATATCTATGAAAAATAAATCTGTGTCAACAGACTGTACATCAAAAACCAAAATCAAAATTACCTTACTTGACATTCATTTCAATAAACCGAAAAGAAATACAAAAAATATAACCATTGATTTTCTGCCATAATCCATAATACTTAAGAACACATTTCACAAATTCAAAATGATTCTGAAAAGTAATATAAGGTAAACATTTACAAAAACCTACATCCCGGGCTTGCTGAGTTTGCTTGGAATTGTGCATGATATTTCATATCTATAATTTTTTACTTTATAAATAATATTCAAGTACCATCGTATTCTTATATAACGTAACCCCCATCTTAATCTCGATGCGATTTTCCCATATCTCATTTACCAACATCGCTGAAAAATACAGATAAAAAAATATTTTGAACATAACAATGATACCACCGCTGTATATTACTTGATAAAATTGTAAAAACCAAAAAAGATACCAGCCGAAATTTATCAGCATATCATGTCATATAAAATTTGAACAGTTTTCTAAAACAGCCTAAACACATTCTGCAAGACATGTAGCACATTGTATGTCATATCACCAAAGACTAGCAGCTGCTTCCGTTAAAAGTTCCGAGAAGAAATGTTGCCAACCTCCTAAACTCAGCCTTGGATGAAGTTTCCTACCTTTAACTAGAAGAATTAGAAGTAGAACTTGAACATTTTTCTTATTATTGAGACATTTTCGAGAATGTAGGTATTATTCCTCCTTCCGCTTTATTCCATTACTTTCGTCTGTCATCATCTCATTTAGTAGAAGTAGAGCTCCTTAAGAAAGAGTTCATCCAGGAAAGTACTGCCACCTTACCTGATTCTGCCGTCAAGTAGTATGACGTGAGTGAGAGACTGCGCTCCGATTTTGAAGGAAAAAGTTCTGGTGAAATTACAGGCGCATGGGTTTTGTCAACTGATGTCTCAGGGCGACGGGCGTAGAAGCAGTGCCCGTCAGATCTTTGCAATTTAAAGCTCTGAGTGGCACTGTAACTATCAGGGATAAGTGTGTCGCTAGCCACCAGATGCACGACTTGTTCGTTCCGTCGCTTGATATCGTTAAAAAATCTGTATCATCCATCATCTCGTTATTTACTCTCTTCATACTATCACCTTAAATACAATTCATTTCTAACTGTTTTATAAGTCGAGCCAACTTGATAGTAATCAAATTTTATGATCTTCAGAAATCTAACTCCAGATGGATCCCTAGGCATCCTATGGTCTGAATACTTAGCGCAAGAACAACGCTACCTAAATATCGATGAATAGCTGACAGAGCGGTGCGGCAGCGGATGAAGACGAAATCCAATTTTGGGAAGGCATCTTTAGAGAGCATTGTCTAAAGCTATAACATGATAGGCTCGAAATAAACTTGCCCCTTTCGCAGTATAATTGAGCCTTTCCCAATTGTCTATTCCATCTTTCTCTTCCTTCTAAACCGAAGTCTACAGTGTTCCGTGATCAACTACAACCCTCTCCGAAGCTTGAAATTAGAGTATTTCACATTATTTAGACAAACGTCGGTTTGTTTGAAAAAACAAATATACGCGGTTTAAATCGGAAAAATAGTTTCATTCCTATGTGTAACAATCGCGAAAACCTAAGAACTCGATATGTACACCAGTACGGACTGGATCTTGCAAATAAAATCCGGCGGTTCAAAGACCTCAAGAACAAACGTGCGCGCGCCCTAGCTGCATTAACTTTTCTCAAAAAGTGCCGCGACAATAACATAGTTCCAAAATGCGTTAAAATAACTCCGCGAATAGACATCTACGGTAGTGAACGCATACTTCGCCAAGCCAGTAAGAAATTATTGTGCAAACTAATCCACAATAACCGCTATTCAATTCAAAAGTTTGACAATCAGATTACGGAATTATCGAAAGAATTGGAGGTAAAGTTAAGCAGATCTGATTACAATAAATGCATTGAAATTACAAATAAACGATCAGCATATATATTTCAACAATCCCAAAAAACACAGATTGAAAAATTTTATGAACTTCAACTGAAGTGCATAAGTAACGAAACGTCAACGTCACTGTCAAATGATCAAACACAAACTCAATCTGTAATAAACTTATCGAACAAAACGTTAGATCAGTATGCTTTTTCAGTTTTGCAAAAGGGTTTGAAGGATAGGGAAGGAGGATTGTCTAGTTAAAAACAACATGAGAAAGGAAGATTTGGAGGCAATACGCCAAGATGTTTCGTCAATATTGCATTCAAATACCCAGACCCAGACCGAATCTTACTCGAGATGAATGTAACGCGCTGAAGACCTTCCGCGAAGATCCTGAATTAGTCATTCTCCGTGCAGATAAAGGTAACGCGACTGTGGTCATGAATACCTCAGATTATAACAGCAAAATAACTGACTTACTATCGGATGAAAGCACGTATAAAAAGGCGAAGAAAGACCCTACTACCAAGATATTAAAAACAACAACTAACTTAATATCTAAGCATTCCGATACGCTGAAACTTGCTGTAAGTGAGTTTGTACCCTGCTGCGTAAAACCTCCAAAATGTATGGTTACCAAAAATACATAAGGCTGACACCCAACTCCGTCCCATAGTTAGCCAGATTGACACACCTACCTACAAACTGGCTCAACACATGGCAAAGGTACTGTCACCATTGAGAGGGAAACACTGATGTCAAACACCGTGGCGTAAACAAGTCTGCAGTCTGCAAGCATGTCATGGATAAACCTACACATTCAATGAAGTTTGACAAACCCCAGGTTCTTGCAAAAGAAGTCCGTTATCTACCCAGGATGCTGCGAGAAGCCATTGAAATTAAAAAACATCCTAATTTCAACAGGGAAGATGGTTTCTCCGTACCACCAGTTTGCGATCCAGTATTTCCTCTAATGAAAAATCCCAGACAGACATAAGACTGCAGTATTAATTAATATGTTTTAGTTTATTCTAATTTCTATAATAATTAATGATAAATTGAACTTAATAAAAATTTATTCAATAAAATAATTTGTTAAACATAATGTAGCGTAAATTGGAATGTTTTCTATGTAAAATTAAAAATAAGGTATTTAATTAATAACTATTGTAACAATAGTGAAAAAATAGGCATCAATATTAGACATAACTGGTTGAAGACTGTACCACCTCAGTCAACCGTGACCATGGAACCTGTAAAGGGCCCGAAACGTCGGTTTGTTTGAAAAAACAAATATACGCGATTTAAATCCGGAAAAATAGTTACATTTCCTATGTGTAACAATCGCGAAAACTTAAGAACTCGATTAGAGTATTTATTTAGTTACAAATTACTGTATAAAAATAAACTTATGCCGTACACGCATTAAAAGTGACGTAATCATTTTAGTTTAATTTACGCGACGATTGTTTATTTTTGTTGATATCCCACCTTTTGTAAACTTATTGCAGCACTCTCAACATTATTACACAACATTATGACGATGTTGGTATTTGTGTTTTTTATTATCTGTTTTAGAACCGAAACTGATTCAAGGTCATTCATTCATACACAGTCACACACGAATATTTATCTATAACACGTCTAAAATAAAATAACGGCACATTCATCGCTTAGTTGTGCATCAAGGACATATTACGTTTTGTTAAGATTTTCGGCAGTTACTTGAATGATATCATCCAAAACATTTTATCGGCGGGTGTAAACGAGTGCGGTTTTCTAAAATGGTTCAAGTAGAGGTTACCGAGGGAATCTTAGAAGGTGAAACAATAAATAATCCATTTGGTGGAACTTATCATAGTTTCAAAGGAATTCCTTTCGCTGAACCGCCGGTTGGAGACTTACGATTTAAGGTAAATTAGGTTATAGTAACTGTACTGCTGATATAAATATTCGATAAGTTGATTATTAAAAACATTAAAATAATGTTTCGCTAATTATATGCTGCAGTGGAGGTAAAGCAAATACAGATAGTAGTTACATTAAATTCCTATTAAAGATTTCATAGCAAAAGGAGCTTAGAGTACGTTCGGCTTAAGCTTGGATCGTCAGGCCGAAAAATGACTTATAATTTAGTAAATAACATAATAAGTAAGTCAGGCGTCATGTTGTAATAATGTACGGGGCGCATGTATCTGTTGCAAATGCTAGTGCGTTGATCTGATGTTGTACGTGCTTGTAAAGCTAGATACCAACCACGCGTATTGTTGGTTAGATATTAAATTGTACATTAATGATATTTTTTAATAAAACAGAAATGCTACTTTTTCTTTATCATTCCCATATTGTTAGGATAAGAACTAACAAATATATTATAATTTAAAATCGTATGTAGACTGTTAATGCATCAAATACTATACAGTGTTTTTTTTTTTAAGTGTACAGTACATGAAATTCGAAACCATAGAAGATGCAGTGGAACTGTCTTAGGAACCATTAAGTCTTTTTTTGTGAAAACAATTTTGGCATAGTCAATTTTTTTGGTAAGCTCACGCTTACCCAAAAAACCGATCACTCTTTTCTTATTTCTTTATTGATGTTTATACATATTTTCAGGCTCCGCAACCTTTGAAACCATGGTCTGGGGTACGCAGTGCCAAGGAACACGGGCCAATCTGTTACCAAAAACATATGATAATACGTGACTCAAAGCCAGAAGGTAGCGAAGACTGTCTGTACCTTAATGTATACACTCCAGACATAGAACCATTGCCGTTACTTCCAGTAATGTTCTATATACATGGAGGAGGATTTTCTTGCGGCAGTGGTAATGATGACAGATATGGCCCTGAGTTACTTGTCAAAGAAAATGTCATCCTTGTTACTTTCAATTATAGAGTCGACATTCTAGGTTTCCTTTGCCTTGATACTGAGGAAATCCCCGGTAACGCGGGCATGAAAGATCAAGTTGCTGCACTGAGATGGGTTAAAAAAAACATTAGCAATTTTGGAGGAGATCCTGACAACATCACTATTTTTGGAGAGAGCGCTGGCGCAGGCAGCGTTGCGTACCATTTGATATCACCAATGAGTAAAGGATTATTTAAAAGAGCTATAGCACAAAGTGGCTCTGCCACTTGTTATTGGGCGAAAAGTTTTGAACCTCGTGAAAGAGCTATCGCTTTAGCTCGAAAATTAGGATTCGAATCCCAGGACATCGACGCAATTGCATTTTTTTTCAAATCAGCACCTAAAGAGAATCTAGTCCAACTCAGAGTGCCCATAACGATGTCTGAAAAAGAAAAAGAAATAAGTGACGTGCAGTTAACTATTGTTGATGAAAAGGCATTCGGTGACAACGAAAGATTTTTTTACGGAGACGTCAATGACGCTCTTCGAAAAGGTATTCATGAGGGAGTAGAAGTTATAACGGGCTACTGTGAACACGAAGGACTCATGGGATTGTGTGGTGTTGATATGAAAAAATTGTTTGAACATGCAAATTGTTATAACGAATTTTTTGCCCCTAAAGACATTGTTATAAATTGCCCTATACGTGAAGTTCTAGACGCAGGAAGGAAGATGAAAAAGTTTTACTTTGGCAAAAATAAAGTTTCTATGGAAAATTTGGAACAGTTAGTGAAGTTCATCGGAATGAATATGTTTAACTATCAGATAGTACAATTTGCGAAAATGATATGTAACAAGAACAAAACGTACTTTTATAAATTTACATGCACTTCTGAGTTGAATTTAATGTCGCATGTTTTTGGAGTAGGAAACATCTTAGGCAAAAAACCTGTAGTGTGCCACGCAGATGATTTACCCTATATATTCAACATGAAAATATTGCCAATAAAAGTTGACCAGAATTCAGAAACTTACAAATTAATTAACAATGTCGTGAAACTTTGGACCAATTTTGCCAAATTCGGGTGAGTTCACAAAATAACTGGTACTAAAAAACTGACTGAACAAATTTCATAAGTTTCTTACAGGCGACTGGCAAAAAGGCCTGCTGACCCAGTGTGTTGCTTAGTTGAGAAGATCGTAGGCCCCGGTATGGCAACAGTCGCTGATTCAAGTCCAGTCAGATCGAATTATTTTTTCTTTCTGTATTCGATCTTTGTATCAACAATGGTCAGAATCGCTGGAGGAACTGGATCAGATGCTGAACAGCCTAGCATCCGCCTCGCGGCGGATTGGTCTCGGCATGAACTTTGATAAAACCAAAGTCATGATCAATGACCACATTGATCCGAGACCCATCTGCGTCAATGGCCACCTTCTTGAAGTTGTTTCCGAATACACTTACCTCGGGCAGATTCTGCAGTTAGGTAGAAATAACTTCGAGAAGGAGGCCAGGAGGAGGATTCAGCTTGGCTGGGCAGCGTTTGGGAAGCTACGTCGAGTCTTTTCGTCGCCCATCCCGCAGAGCTTGAAAACAAAGGTTTTCAACCAGTGCGTCCTACCAGTTCTAACGTACGGAGCTGAGTCGTGGACACTCACGATACGGCTAGTCCACCAGTTTAAAGTCGCTCAGCGAGCTATGGAACGAGCTATGCTCGGAGTTTCTCTGAAAGATAAACTCCGTAATGAGGTTATCAGACAGAGAACCAAAGTGATCGACATAGCTCTTCGGTTAAGCAAGCTGAAGTGGCAGTGGGCTGGACATATCTGCCGAAGAACCGACAACCGCTGGGGTAAACGAGTTCTTGAGTGGAGACCACGACTTGGCAAACGTAGTGTGGGACGCCCTCCAGGCAGATGGAGTGACGATCTGCGGAAGATTGCTGGCAGGAAATGGATGCGTCAAGCCGAGAACAGGGCGAAATGGCGTGCATTAGGGGAGGCCTATGTCCAGCAGTGGACTGCAATAGGCTGATGATGATGATGATGATCAACAATGGTACTAAAAATTTTACTAAATTATTCAAAGCACCGTTTTCCAGTAACTTCTTGCTTCGTAATCTCAATCACGTGATATATCATCAATGTTGGTTTTAAAAATATACATTTGCTCATTTTCAGAAATCCAACGCCAGATGATTCTCTAGGAGTGCACTGGTCACCCTATAGTACATCAGAAGAACAATATCTGGACATTGGTAACGAGTTGATATTTAGTTCATCTCCGGACGAAGAGCAGGTGGAATTTTGGCAAATGCTGTTTAAAGAATATTGTCCGCATTACTTTTTTTATAAGTGAAGTTATGTTTCCACAGGAATGCCGATAAACCAATTTAATGACATCACTGATATAAATAATATGAATACAATGTAATTAATAATGAATAATGATAGTGTAAAATGAACATTTAGTTTTAGTTTTAGTTTGTTGAGTTTTGTATTAGATTTTTTGTTTAAAATATTTTGTGATAATGCGAATGATTATGTACCATGACGTTGGTGAAAGGGTGTCAGTTGTCACCGCTGCGCCATGGTGATATAAGGTAGAAATAATTGTGTCGTTGGTTGGTAGATGACCGGTTATTATTTTGGTTAAGAAACTTATATATACTTATTTGGTACATGCGTCTTTATGCTGATTTATAGTGTACGGTCATTGACTTACAATTATATGTACAGTCATTACTTTTGCTTGGACTAAGACGTACCTGAATGCCGGAAGAGGGCTTGACATTCTAGCACGTTTGGTGGCTGCTACAATTATAACGTACTGGACTCTACCAGGGTTAATGCTTAGGTATTTAATTTTTTTAAATGTACACCATATCTACCACATTGCGATTGGAATATTCATCACGGTCCACTTCACCCACCGCTGGGTATAGGCCTCTCATAGTTTGTGCCATCCACCACGATCCTGTGCTAGTCTCACCCATCTACTGCTCGCAACTTTGACAATGTCGTCCACCCATCTCGCTACAGGTCGTCTCACGTTCCTATATCCATTTCTTGGACACCATTCAGTTATCGCCTTACTCCACCTGAGTTCACCACGTCTCGCAACATATCCTGCCCATCTCCATTTTGAATTAGTTATCCGATCTCCTATGTTCTGGACCGTAGTTCGTTCTAATTATACGCGATCTATAAGTTTGATTGATTTATTTTGATTAATTTGAGCAATAAATAAAAAATGAATAATCTCAGTACAGGGTAAACTAAACCGTTAAAAAAAACAACCTAAAAAGTTCTTGGAATTACATCTATTTGCCAAGTTGTATTGAAATCGGTTACCGGAAAGTGCGTGACACCGCATTCATCCTCTATTTTGCCACCATAAGGGTGTCGCCACACGGGCGTTGCTGGTGCGTTGCTTCGTCGCAACGCTATTATTTCAACGGACTGAGTGCCACAAGAGCTGTTCCGTCGACGCTATTTCTAAGCACCGTGTGGCATGTCGTTCTGATTTATACGTAATACAACGCAGTTGCAAATTTCAATAGGACCACTACTGAGGTACCCTCTTTCCAGCAAAAAAATAATCATCAAAATCGGTTCATAAATGCTGGAGTTATCGCGTAACAAACTAAAAAAAACATACAGTCGAATTGAGGACCTCCTCCATATTTTGAAATCGGTTAATTATAAATTAAATTAAATAGGTTACATATAGTACTGCTACCAGCGGCCTTGCCATTCTTAGCTCTACTAATATTGCGACGCCAATTGCTTATGAACAAAATTCATACAGGAAAACAATGTCAAGTGCACGGTAGAGTTGCCGCGTCGAATTTAATTCACAGCTTCATTATTACTCTAGTACTGAATATCGCCAAACAAATATTGAACCGCTCTGGGCGTCGAGGCAATATTTATGTGTAATACGGCCTTTTGTTTGGCTTCTTGTATTCTGAGGCTAATCGAAACAGAGTGTGGGGAATATCGGAAATATTTCCATTCCTATGTACCCTTGAGCTCGTTCACACCAGATCAGACCGGAGAATTTTTTTGGCTTAGATAAACAGAATGAAAATTTGATAGCGTCTATTATGAATCTTTTTCCTGTTTTTGACTACATATGCATTATGTAGAAGGAAAGGTACAAGATTAATCATTCTGCATGAAGGAGGTAACATCGTTAAGATCCCTTGATATTGTTATATAATAACCGCCAAAGAAATCTTCTGATTCTTGTGCGTTGAAGAAATTTTTCAATATTGCAAATATATTATACAACCGCCTATATATTTATAATCTTTGACACCGTGTCGGTTATATTGATTGATACCGTGGTTTCTTTGTCATCGCGTCTTGAAAACTTGTAAACTCAGCACAAAACAATACTCATAACCAACTTACACAAAAACACAATAATTTTAACCAACTTTAAAAAAAGAAAGTTTTTTTTATGTATGTGAACCGATTTTGATGATTCTTTTTTTTATTGGAAAGAAGGTACCTTAGTAGTAGTCACATTAAATTCTAACGAAAAATTCCGCCTCTAAGAGTTGGGAAACTAGGGAATGAATCCGGTTTCGCGCACTTTCCGGTAACCGATTTCAATAAAAATTGGCAAGTAGACGTAATTCCACGAAATTTGAAGTCGGTTTTTTTAGTACTATGTACTGGGATTATGTAATATATATTTGCTCAACACAAAAAAAGTAAATTTCTACAATAAGTAGTAAAATACTTAACAAACAAATTATAAGTCATATTCAATTATTGAATCCTAAAAAGCAATATTATTAAAATTATTTTAGTATATCCCGCCGCAATGAGCAAGATACTTAACCGTTAAGTACTCTATTTAAGCTCTTGCTAGATCTAAGAAGAACTCGAAGTAAAAGAAGTCTTTCATCCCCTACTTTGCCACCTCTAAGGGTGGGATGAGTGACTTGTGAGGTCAGGTTTTTTTTAGTATTCGTTACTGATGTTATATTTATTCATTTAGATACATTATCGGTAAGTACATAGAGAAACTTAAATTGCATTATCATAACTTTGTAAGCAGTATGTTATGCCATTGCAGGCGTATATAGCAATTACACAACGTACAAGTTGGGTAACTTTGGACACATTTCTCAGGTTTGTACGGATCTTAAAATTGAAATGTATTGGCCGAAATGGGTAATCAATAAATGGTTAATGAGTGTTCTTTCATACCTAAATTTAGAATAATTTATCGAGTTCTTAGGTTTTTGCGATTGTTGCACATAGGAAATGAAACTATTTTTCCGGATTTAAATCGCGTATATTTGTTTTTTCAAACAAACCGACGTTTCGGGCCCTTTACAGGTCCCATGATCACGGTTGACTGAGGTGGTACAGTCTTCAACCAGTTATGTCTAATATTAATGCAAACCACCCTATTTTTTCACTATAGTTACAATAGTTATTAATTAAATACCTTATTTTTAATTTTACAAAGAAAACATTCCAATTTACGCTACATTAAGTTTTACAAATTATTTTATTGAATGAATTTTTATTAAGTTTAATTAATTATTAATTATTAATAGAAATTAGAATAAACTAAAACATATTAATTACTACTGCAGTCTTATGTCTGTTTGGGATTTTTCATTAGAGGAAATACTGGAATTCTTGGAATTCCTATTAGAATAATTTAACTAAAACGAAGAATTGCAAAAAAGCTGTTTTTTTAATCTGTTATAATTATTAATACAGAGATTGAACGCTTAGGAAAAATTTCTTCGATCCGGCCAGGTTCGAACCGACATCTTCTAGCAAACCGTGCCAGACGCTATGCCAACTAAGCTTTAAACTCTTCTAAGTGTTCGATCAACTAGTGGAGTAATTTCACAAACAAATAATTGAATATCAATTCAATAAAAAATTTAATCTAATCTACGAATCATTTCCATTTTAAAAAGAAAATAGTTTCTATGCCTGCTTCTGAGTTTAGATTTTTTTTAATAATATCAGGTGACGGGACAAACAAGTCGTACGCCTGATGGTAAGCTACACGCCTGTCCATAACAGTTGCAGTGCCACTCAGAGCTTTAAATCGCAAAGATCTGAGGGTGCATTGCCACTGCGCCCGTCACCCTGAGACATAAGTTCAGAAGTCCCATGTGCTTGTAATTTCACCTATAACGGAAATGAGATATAGTACAATAGATAGCAATTCAAATGAAATATAAAGTAAATATTTAATAATAATAGTTAGCCTATAAAGTCCCTCCGCTGCGTTCAGGCCTCTTACAAGGGCTTGGTCTGCGGTTCTCACGCGAGCCTAATGCGCTTTGAGAACTACACACACATCATGATTTGCATTGAATTGCATTACAACACAATATGTATACAAGTTCCTTACAATGTTTTCCTTCACCGAAAAGCTCATAGTAAATTTCGTCGACCCGGTGGGTCTTGTATCCACGTCCATGCTGCACCGTAGCATTGCCCTGACCATCGGAGCCACGGGTCCAGTTACCGAGTCGTCGAAATTATCTTATATGTTTTTGTTATAGTCTTTATACTGACTTTCGGTATTCGTCGCCGTTAGTGACGTCTAGTGAAAGATTTTTGAGTAACTTTGTCGCCGCAGCCGATACCTTTACACGTATCACAACTGAAGCACATGTCGCTTTTCGATGAAATGTATTTATTGAGATTTTTTGTGAAATTACTCCACTAGTTTTGTTAAGATTATCAATACAAAGATCGAACACACAGAAAAATTTTCGTCGAATCGGTGGAAAAAAAAGAAAAATTCTGACAAAAAATCTCAACAGATACATTCTCAAAATTTTACGAGAAATTTTATAAGTACAGTAATCGTGCCTCCAAAAAGTCATATCTAGATGACCTCAAGCAGCGAGTGTAATTACTAATTACTTTAATAAAGACCTCAATTTTTTATTTTCTTTTAATTTCATTTGTAGTTTTTATTTGAACTGAAAACCAGCGCTGTGGCTCCGCCGCAGTATTCTCTGAGTTGGGCCCTTTTCAGTGCAATACACGATAAGCATAAAATCACATTGTACTTGTAACATGTGTTTGTGCTGAATAAATTTATTTTCCTTCTTTCTTTCTCCATTATATGATAGTATAGAATCCCCTGTAGTTTGTAGAACTGTGAATAAATAAAATCCTTTTTTTTTCCACTCCCCGAGGAATGTCTGCGAGACTTCCCACTCGGATATTACATTAGTATCGCGGCATTCCCTAACGACATTTCCTTTAGCACAAATACTTTGAGAACTTCAGATACAATTTTGTTTCAGCATGCAAAGCTGCGTTAGACATTTTGTAGTTTAATCTTTATTCTAATACTTCAGTAAATTATTAGATATAGTTTTTTAACATAAGGGATTCATTATTTTCTAAAGTCTGTGTGAAAATCTATAGAAAAGGTTCTATTCTCTTGGAAAATTTGCACACACTTGTGCGTTCTCGTTGTGGAAAATCAAGCGCTAAGAGCCCCTGTGTTTTTTATATTTAAGGGGAAACTGGTAAAACACGATCCCATTACTTTCTAGACAGCGTCGAACACCATTGATTTTGATTAGTTAATATACGAAATAGAATCTAACTTTGATAGTATGGACTCCGTTCGGAGATCTAATCTCTTAAAAACAGACTCAAGGTCATTGGCGAATTTTTTTAAGGTAGTTGGAAAACGTGCCCTCAGCGGTTTATTATTTATTGATGATGATTATTTCAATAATTATTGTTTAGTAATAATAATTATAGTTGAATATCAAGTACCAAAAGTTATTTCACTATTGAAGCACCTAATACTTTCATAAAACCAAAAGTACAGTGATTAAAATCGCTCCTTAGAGACGGCTGTTTATTGCAAGTTCCAGTTTGTTTAGTTTGTGTGGTTAAATAGTTTGTGTTGACATAATGAAACATCGTCAAATTCTACGCGAAAGACAGGTTTCTTTATTATATAAGACGTCAAAATAGTATCCAAGAAGGCAAAAAAACAAAAGGTAATTACCGTGAACAGCTTCAAAGAGAACTAGCAACAAAAAGAAAACAAAGTGCAAAATGTAGGCGTTTGGTAACAGAATAATTAGAATTAAGTTACGTCGAAAGATACTCAAGAGCGCCATCATTAATTAAATAATTGGAAGTAGGGTGTATGATTCAACATATATTATATTTACTTTCTTAAAGAAAAGAAAACAAGAAGAAACAAAGAATTCATTCGATCCTGGACTAGTTATAGGAACTCTACACAGGATTGTGCATGGAGGTATATC